ATACTTTTCCCTTTTCCCAGCGGAAATATCTCAACTCAGTGTTTCCCAGCAGACACATCGAGTGAACCAAAGTTATATACGTTGAACACACTTAGGGGCGTGCTTCTAGAGCCATAACGGCACCTTCAGTTGGGGGAGGGTTAAGATGGGCTGTGGCTTCGAGGCCGAATCTACACCTTCGTTGGGAAGCTCGGGGCTAGCAAATAAAACCCGAATGTCATACCCAAACTCCGCCGTTTGACTGACCAGCAGGATATCGGATGGGGAACAAATTTTCTAAGGAATAGATCCGTTGTGTGCTTCCTAGAAACCTAGCCTATTGTAGGACCTCTTTATTCTTTTGTAGTATGAGCAGTCAAAACTCTCTATCAGCAGTGTAAATCTACTACCAGTCCATTACGATTGCTGTTCTCTTAGTGGCAAGCTACCCAATATCTATTGTGTTGTAGTTAGTGAGTATTGTAGTAGCTGCAGAGTGTTGTTGTTAACAAAATGGCTGCTACTTCTTTGTGTTTTCAACTGTGAAGAGGATTAAGATTAAGTTTTGAACGATTTAAACTAAAACAATTAGATTATTCGCTCTCGGTTTAGACGCGTGATAGTAGGTTCGGGCTGCGCCTTCATCAACTATTCGCGATAAAAATCGAGAGCGAATCATCTAACTGTGAAATATTGAGTATACCCTCTAGTCTAGTAATTTGCCCATATTGACTTGGTTTTGATTGCTATCATGTTTCAGCTGATAAAGAGACAGAGTGTGGGGTTTGTCCTGTTCATCATCACTGCGTTCAGGGATTTTGTGTTTGTATTCCCGGATATATTTGCCAAGGTTAAGATTAAATTACATTACGGAGGGTAATCATTAAAGTATCAACTACGTTATTTCAGTTATAGAAAGGACCCGGATGTATTTTCAAAATGGATAGAGCATGATCAGATAGACTTTAAAAGACTTTAACTGACAAATGACTATAAAATTATATTCGGATATTTGTCAGCGGCAATTTCTGTTCCGAGAAGCGAATAATTTTCTGAGATTGGAACGGGGAGGAAATCCTATTTTAACCATCTTGCAATGGTTTATTTTCAGATTTGACAAGATCTATGGGCTAAAAATCATCAACTGATGAAGCCTGGGGACAATTTTCTAAGATTTGAGACCAAAACTCTCTGTCTGTTGGAGTCAACGCACCTGCATCAGTTATAAGATGTGGACAAAGTGAAGAGATAGAGTCGTTGCATTTTGCTTTCGGGAGTTTCCTTTTGTACAGTGATATATTATATTATTATGTTATAAATTGATGTCATGTACAGTTTTTCAGTAGGTAGCCGAAGAATTCAAAGTAAGCTGTATGGTCAAAGTCTTTACCTGAATACGATACTGTTACAAGGAAGAAATTCCACTTCTAAATATTTTTGTATAACTGGCAATTCTGAGTATCATCATCACATTATCAATTAAAGCAATCCTAAGAATGATTTCCCGGCTACAACAGCACACCTAATTTAATTTATGGATAGAACAATTGAGCTGTGCGATTCATGAAACGCTCCCTGGTCAGAAGTAACAAAACTAGACAAAATTCTACAGCGAAACCTGTATTAAGCGGACACCCTTGGCACCCTCATTAGTGTCCGCTTAATACAGTGTGTCCGCTCAAAACAGGTTCTAATATGTTGTGCAGTAATAGTTAATTATTAACCCTTTTGTAAACACAATGTAACACAGTGTGAGATCACAGACTGCTCATATGCACAATGTTCAGTCAGTCAGTGCATCAATCTGAAATAATCACTTAGCTTTAAAACGACATCGCTGAACAATGTTAAAGGAGTCTGAGTTGAGCCTTTAGAGGTAAAATGCCCTTGGAGTGTCCGCTTACTGCAGGTTTTGTGCAACAAAATGGCTTAATGTTGGTGTCCGCTGAATACAAGTTTATTTTACAGTAAATGTGGAAAGAATATTATGGGACTTCAGCTGGTGTCCACTTAATAGAGGGTGTCCGCTTAATATGGGGTCGGCTTAATACAGGCTTCACTGTATAACTATACTATATGCAATATAATTAGTAATTCACTGATATATATATACACGAAAGAGACAGACGGGAAAAAGGCCAGGTGGTAAAAAGTTGGGCTTTAGAGCAAAGTGCAGTGAGGCTTAAACGTTCCTGTTTTACAGCTGATCAGACCAAGTTGATTAAGTGAGTATCTTAAAGTTTAAGACTAGCTGGTGTATGTGGAACGAGATGGAATGGCAGCTTGCGTCAATCCGTTTATCTGGCGCTGGTAAAATCTTGAGCTCTTTTATGTTGAATTGTCTCAGCAGGGTCGCACAGTAATATTACAATAGAGTACTAAATAAAGTGCAGTTTTGAAGCAATTCCTATCATATACTCTGATTCACCAAGGGATCGTTTAATTGATAAATAAATCAAATCATACGGACCAAGATATTTTTTCCCTTTGATATCCAAGGAAGTAGGGCAATGGTACTAAGCTCAAGTCCAGTTATTACACTGTATATTTGTCATTGCCTAGAATTCCGTATTCATCAAAATTTTGCTATTTTAAAATCATACTTAGTGGTGTTTTTGCTAAAACTGCCTGTGAACGGGCTCTTCATCCTGTCCGATTCTTTTGGATATTAATGATATCTAGAATGTTTTTACAGCTTGTGTCACCATCAGATTTCTTTGTCGATTGCCAGAATGGAAGAAGAACATGTCTTCAAAGTTGGGCAAAGGCAAGCCAGTGGTTAACGTGCTCGGTACAACTTGTGAGGGCCACTTATATTCTCATATGTGCTTCTGGGCTCCACGTAAGCTAAGTTCCCCACAGTATAAGCCGCTGGTATGTGGACAATTAGACTTGAAACCAGATGTATGCCACCCTCACCAAGGCTGCAACCAGCAAAAAATATGACCGAGGCAAGGTCTAAGAAAAAGTTATATCTGAGGCAATGTACATGGTTAAATTTTCTTCCTAGGTATTTAGGATGTTTATGATAATAACTACAAGCGACAAGAACGAAAAAAAAAAAATTAAATAAAAGACAAAAACAAACAAAAACAAATGACTGAGCCAATTGCCTCGGTTTGCCTGTTACTACCTACGGCCCTGCGCACGAGACTTGACGCTTAATATCAAGCACCTCTACAACCTCAAGCTGCTTAGTATTGCGTACTGAGTATCATTCGCGCGTTCGACGAAAAATGACTCAAAAGTAACTCGCAGTCAACCGAAACGTCTGTGGACAGACTAATCAAGGAAGCAAGCAAGTATTTTTTTGGCAGACATAAACAGTCCGCACGTTTTCCCTATTTTATTTTGTGAACGCGTAGGTAAAGAAAGCAATCGTGGAAATGAACTTCGAGAAGGGTTAAAAGAGGAACTGTTTCTGGAAACTGTCCAGGCTTTAGTGCACGCTAGTCAGTGGAAGCACATGATCAGTATTTATTCGCGAAATGTTTGGCCGCCATCTCGATTTTTTTAAGCAGAGGAAGGTTGGGAAGAGAAAGAGTTATAAGCCCACCCAAAATCAAACATGGCAGTGTAAAATGGGGTTGACGGGCCTACACGCCTCCCACGGTTCGTGACAGTTGTACATTTGCCGTTTTCTTTTCGGTCTACATGTGAATATATGAAAGATCATATGTTTGAACTGCAGAGAAAGATATGAAGACATGATCGATCATCGCAGTTATGCACACAACTTAAGGTATCATGGTAGGTGGGTTTTTACGAAAAATGCGAAAAATCTTTTTTTGGCAGTTCAGATTGAGAAGACTGAGATAAATATTTTGCAAAAAGAATGGGGGAAAGGGCTTTTTTACTTTTTAACTTAAAGCAAAGAAACTATTTTTGAATATTACTAACCCCTTACAGCGCGTTGACACCTCTAATTAAAATTCACCGCCAGTTGTCACAAGTAATGCGAATTACGGTGTGATATTTCATTTGTGCACGCGAACTGTTCTTGATCTGGTTGTTTCATTGCAAGTTGGTTTTCGTTCTTGTCAAATTTTCTTTATGTCAGGACGAAAAATTCTTGCCCAGTTTCATCTTCGAAGAGGCCGAAGAGGCGAAAATCTGGTGGAACCCACAGGTTCAGCGTCGAACAAGATCTTTGGT